GACGCAAGTGCCTCGGCGAGATTGACCAACTTCCGGAGTTTGAACCGTCGCTTGGCGTCGTTGAGTTTTCGGCAGCTACTGGATGTGTGCAGGTGCAAAGAACTGAGCCAGATCCGTGATTCCATTTTAAATCTGCAGACAATCATTGGTGCGCAAAATCCTGCGGTGTTTACACAAACCTTCTCTGTGTAGTGGATGCTGTCCGGTTTACCGCGTACAGTGCAGAGCAACCGGGGTGGTCCCAGGTCCCACATGTTGTAGGGAAAGGGTTCACATTACCAAGAGTTAAACCAACACATGTGCTGTTGTCCTTGTCAAACTCCGAAGTGCACATTAAGTATCATGGCTATCTAGCTTCGTTTACTTGCAACATGTAAGGGACCAACCGAATTCATAGTGCCAGCAATCGTGAAGCTCGCTTTTCTACAGGCTCTACAGGAACATTTCGAGTCTGATCTTCCAACTTCAGCCAAATCTGACGCGAGAGTCATGCTACCCAGTGAGCCAATCATACACCAAAAGTATTTGTTGCTTTGTTATCCCACAAGGGGTTCTTGAACAATGGGCAAATGGCAGAGTTCGGAAATCTCTCGGAGCAGCGAGTTGAGAACATGTTGTTCACCATTCATTCGGAGCGCCATTTGAAAGCTTCGAAATTTGAAATCTGTCCTGACGGGGTGCGATTCGACAACCGAGGAAAAGTGCGAGAAAAACAGATTGAGATGCGAAATTGAGGTGTAGTTTGCCAGGCAGATTCAATTGTGCCGGATGCAGTTTGGAGGCGAGGAGGTTGCAGGGCCCCTTTTGGTGGCCTCCGCACAGCACTGCACACACAAACGCACGCAACAGATATCCAAAAACAGGCCAACACGACCCATACTAAAAGTATATGTTTGTCGCAAAAGTGGTCGACACCCCCCAGCATCAGTGCTTTAGCAAATCAAGTGTTTCCATAAACTAAAATTAGATGTCGCGAACGTGTGCAGATTCAGTGCTCAGACCTCCGGACGTGTTAAAACTAGATGTCTCGAAAGTCTGTTGATCAAGTGGTCCACGCCCCCAACATCACCAGTGCTTCAGAAAAGAACATTTGTTTCCACTTACTAAAAGTACATGTCGCGAAAGTGTGTAGATAAAGTGGTCGACACCAGTGCTTTACTAAAAAAAATGTGTTTCTGCTTACTCAATGTAGATGTTTATAGGATTGAATGGCTTGTAGATAAAGCGTGTCGACACCCCCAGCATCAGCAGTGCTTTAGATTGGAACTTTATCACCAAACTATGGCGAAGTCTACCTTGAGTAAGCTTTCTGCTCAAACACCGGTGATGCTGGGGGTGTCGACCACTCTATCTCCTGAATTCATCCGACCGAGTCATGTCGGGCTTAAAAGGGCAATTTCGTGTCGTAATTTGTCTTGCAAAGAACTTTCATGCTGCCAAATGAGTCTCAAAAGTGAGTTTGGAAAGCCGCGACAATTTACCTTCAGTAAGAAGAAAGACATTTCCTTTATTGAAAACACTGCTGATGCTGGGGGTGTCGACCACTTTGGTTACAAACTATCGCGACATCAATTTTGAAAGGAAGAACGGTTTCTTTGCAAAAGCACTGGTGATGCTGGGGTGTCGACCACTTTATCTCACGCACCCGTCCAGATCAGCCTGAGTCATGTTGTTGTTGTTTTTTGCAATGCCGCCGAGCGAGTCTCAAAAGTCGAGTGCGGAATCAACGACATTTGCTTCTAGGAGGAGCATTGCCTTTTTTCAGCACTGGAGATGCTGGGGGACTTTAGTTCATGGACCAGAGCGTGAAATGCTGGAGGCGTCGACCACTTTAGTCGATAAAGACCGGCAAAAGCAGAACGAGGCATGTCAGACTCAAAAAGTGCAGTTTCGTTATTCTCATTTGTCTTGAATTTCCGATGCCGTCGAATGGCTTTGAAAGCTCGAGTTTGCAACTACGACATCAGTATGCTTAACAAGAAATATGGAAAATGCACACAATTCCGCCTCCAGCACCTTGCCACACGTGCCTGTGCCTTGAATCGGCTCAAACCTTTTGTTAGCGGAAAAGGGTCTCCTTGACAATCCGCTGGCGATGCTGGAGGTATTGACACGTGTTTGCCACTTTCGCCAACAAAAACCGCCCAGAGCAGATTGGGTCATGTCGGGCTGGAACAGTGCAATTTCACGATTTGATTTGTAAAGAGCGTTGATGCCGTCATATGACTCTGAAAACTCCCATTTGGAAACCTTGACATCCACTGTTGAAACTACAACTATTGCATAGAACTACATACCTTGAATCGTTCAAAGCTCGACCATGTTGTGTGTTTCATGTTTATTGTTGGGAAGATCTGGGAAAAGGCTTCATTCCGACTTTGAGTTTCCTGACCTTTCGCAATGATGAAATGAATCCGCTTAGGTAGCAAGCAACACAGTACACCTTCTTGCTTCAACCATAGATTTACAATGGCGACATTCTGCAGCTTTTCCTATTTACGTAGAAAACTCCTGTACGGCACTGGGGTGGGGTCACCCTATTGTGTTTTGATATTTATATATATATATACATATATATATAGAGAAACACACACCTTACCATCTCCTCACGTTTCCTGAGAGGCCTTCGTTTCCAGGGCCATGGACGGCCAATCTAGGGAGTCTGGGCGACCATCCGGGGCTCAGGTCAAGGGCTTTGACTACGTCACATGACACGAGAAAGACTGAGTTTCGGGGCCATGTCTCTCAGAGCGGTTGACCGAATTGAGCTATCAGGTGCATGCCAGTCCATTAAGGTAGCGGAAGATAGCGCTATGTTTTTCTTTTCTTCTTTCGGGCTCTGGGCAAGTGAGATTTCATGCCCTGGCACCAAACCATTTAGACAGACTCAGTCGATCCTTTTTGGAGGACTGTTGCGATCATTGCTGAGAATTCTGAAGGCTGCATCAAAGTAGTACTGAGATTCGTGACTGACTTCGGCACATCGCAAGGTTCGTACCTAAAATGTCCACGTTCCAAGATTTGCTCACTTTTTCCACCAAAATGTCAAGCTCACAGCCAGCCTAACCGGGATCCGTACATTTATCCCCTTTTGGGTGGCGTTTCGCATTGCAGCGCTGCCCGCAGGCACTTCCAGGATGACTTTGGTGCTTGGGAGAAGGTCTCCGGGAGCCCCGGCGCGGTGAGACTCGAGACCCCTTCCGCGCCCAAAACCGAGTGGACCTTGGGTTCCCATTTTGGTTGCACCAATTGTTGGGTTCCCAGTGGCCCAAAAGGTGATCTCAGGTTGAGGGGCAAAGGTGATCTCAGGTTGAGGGGCAGCTGAGCATTGCAAAGGGGCCACTGACATGGGTCTAAAGTCCACATAGACCCCGGGCGGTGGGTGTGTCACTCTTTTTGGTTGCGGAAGCAAAACCAAAGGGGACCGAGCCTCACAGAATCGACCGACTCGTGTGGAGTTCAGCTTTCCTCCTTCCAGCGAGTGAGGTGGCTGCCTTTGACATGTTTGTCAACAATATGTGAGGGGTGTGGCACGGGAGAAGTGCCACATTCTTTGATCCTCTTTTTGGTTTTGGCGGTTTTGGCAGCGGGTCCGAATTGAAATCCATCCAGATGTTCGGGTAGTCGCATCTGAGCAAGTCAGGAAGGCATCCCCTTTTGCCCCGGCCGCTTCGGCGACAAGATCAAGCTGCAGCTGCCTGGCGCAGTCACAGCAATCCACTGGTGGAATTTCCAGACGCCCTTTGTGGGGCGCCCTCAGCCAGGGGCAACCAAATCGCAAAGGTCCGAACCATTCGGGACATGCTTGGCACCTCCCCAAACCAAGGAGATGTGGGCGACAAGCGACCGAACTAGCATAAGAGGGTGCCAAAGCCGCGTCGGGGATCTCTGCTTGTCTCTGGCTTGCGTGTAGCAGGTCTGCGCTCGGTCTTGTTTGCTCAGTTCTTGGCCAAACAGACAGCACCGTCCCTTCGGTTTTGAGGCTTCAAGAAGAACGGGAAGCAGATTTGGCCACCTGCTGTGGAGGTACACGCTTCCGGAGCTGTGCGGTGAAAGGAGACACAGATCATCAGGGTGTTTGGCCTTCACAATCGAACGCGCCAACGATCACTCTTGCTCTGCGGGATCACAACAGATTGGTCCTGCTGGAGTATTTGGCCAGGATCAGATCTGATCTTTGCTGCCAATGGAATTTCAATTCAGTGGCAGGGAGGAGGATCTCGCAGATCGCGCAGAAAAAGCGTGTTGGATTCGCAGAGAAGCACTTGCTTCACTGGACTTGCCCTTGGATTGACTCCAGGAGTCCAGCATTCGTCCTCAGGGTTGGCTCCCAATGTTTGACTGGAGTAGAGTCAGGATGCGCCTTTGATTGCATACATGTGCTTTTCTTGTCAGGGTTGTGTGCATACATAGCTATATGTTTGCAGATACGTGCATGTACATGCTGTGAGGCAGGATATTCTCGAATCATGTTCGTAGGTCGGATTTAGGCGACCAGAATTCACCAGAAAGGCGTGTCCACAGCTCTGTCCTTTCGGCAGAGTTGGCCGGCGAGCCCTGTCCAGGCGGCTTTGGCCGAGCAATGATCAAGTAAAGTACCAGCACAAACGGGGAATATCGTTGACCCCTTTCCCATGCGAGTGGGAAGTATTTCTTTGAGGCCATTTGGATAAAACCAAATTCCGCACGGCTTGGCGATAAGCCCTTCCAAGTATTCCAGCCGGAACCTGAAGATTGTTCGGGGACTCTTGCCCCAACATGGGCTGGGGGGGAAGCCCCGTTCGCATGGGGCTGAGGTGCGTAAGGGTCCAATTGTTCTAGTGGTTGATTCCCCATTCTTTTCAACCAGCGTTCTGTTCAAAACCACCGTTTTCCAGTTTTCCCTGGGTTCTTGATGGTTTCCTGAAAAGAAGGATCCATGGAAAGAATGGGGAAGGTAGCAATAGACTTATTTATGCTTTACGGAGGGTTGCCCAAAATCGTGCCTCTGTACTTGTGAGGTACTACATCAACGCCTCCTCCAAGTGCCCGGCCATTGTGCGATCTCTAGACGACCGCCTCATGGCCAAGTACGGGTACTGCCGGCCCATTGGCCGGGTCTCAAAATGGGACCGGTGACGCAGCCTGGAGGCGTCCATTTGAGAAGCGCATAGGGCGAGTGACCATTTCTTGATATCTGAAGCAGACGAAAACGCATGGGCACTTGCCATGAATGGCTCGAGGAAAGCGAAGGCCATGCAACAGCCGCAAGTAAATCCGAGGCTTTTCGAACATCTCTTCAGCTCATAGCCCTTTTATATAGAGGCAGCCATGTGCCTTGTCAATGTTTCGACCTGTATCTTACTCAGCTGTCGGTCCGGGAACTCGGGGAGTGAGTTAACACTGCGTCCAAAAAATCTTCGCAATTTCCCAAAAGCGAGCCATGGCATCGCTGAGTTGTCACTCCGATGCAGCTTTAATCTGTCACTGTTCGAATCATTTGTTTCGTAAGGCAATGGGGTGTGGAACGTAATCTATCCCCTTGTGGGTTCTGTAAGGGGAAGTCCATCGATCTATTTCCTTGTTTTGTACTTGGTAGCCCCCATCCCAAAGAATCTGCCCTCAGTTACGTTAGCGGCGCTTCAAATGGCGCTTCCTAAACCAGGGCTTTAGCAACATGGGTGTCCGATTTTCCTCACCATCCAGAAGGGGTTTTTTCAGGGCAGATTAGCCTCGGCCCGCGCATTGCGAAGAGACCTTTTGCGGACGTCAACCGAAGGATATTTGAGATCGGACGTCAGTCTGCCCATAGCACTTGAGTCAAAGCCCTTGGCAACTGCAATGCTTCCATTCCAAAAGAGAAACACCAGGATTCTAAATATCTTCATATGTTCCGTCTGGAAACCACTCGTAACCTGCAAACGGGCGAGAGTGGAACAAGTTGCAACTCGCAAAGCGGCAAGGAGTCCATGGCCGAATGAATCAAAGTCATTAAGGTCCATGACAGCGCGATCCACTCAGGAAGTGTGTCAAACAGACAATTTAATGAACGCATTGTGTCAGCGATGCCTCTTCCGAAAAGGGCAGTGCCACATGTGGTTATATAAACGAGCTCATGCGGGATGAAGCTTCCTTCAGTGCATTGCTTAGCTTCACGTTCTGAATATCTTGTAGTTTGCCCAGATATTTGTGTCATGCTGTGGATGGACAAAAACTCCTGTACCAGTTGGTAGGTTGATCCCATTGGTTTCGGCCATCCCAACCGATTGGCGCGTTGATTTGTTCTCGACCTGGCAGGTTCGTGAAGCTCCAAGTGGAAGCACAACTCAGCGGTGTCACCATCATCTCCCCCTGCAAGTTCAGGCGCACGCGCGAGAAGACGCGGGCAGGTGAAGGATAGGCCGAAGGCAAAAGAAGACGCACTCTGCAATTTGCATGGGTATGCCCCCGTACAGGCCTCCAAGTTGTTCTCTTTGGGTTTTGCGTTTACAAGAATTCCAGGACCTTTCTTGATTTTGAAGCCTCTCCATGCTCAACTGGTTGCCATACCTCGTTTTTCGGGAGTTCTGGTTGGAGTTGTGCATGGTGCGGAGTTTACATGGCTCAATGTGTTGGAAAGGTCTCGGGCTGTTTCGCAATGCTACTCCTTTATGAGGACAACAAGGCTCGCGAAGAAAAGGTAAGACCGAGAAGAAGAAGAAGAAGAAGAAGAAACCATGTTGGATGATGGTACCAAGATTTGGCCCTCCGGCCAGGGTCCCTGTGGGCCAAGTTTACTTCTTGGTTCACGTGGCAGGGGGCCCAGAGAAACCCGGGATCGGCAGGATGAAAACTCTTGGGTTGCCTCCGCCTCTGGCTCAACATGAGGGGTGAATCTAGGCGTGTCCGTTTTTATTTCCTGTTGAGTGGCGCAAAATACCAGTCCCTAGTTGTTGGCGCAAAGGCTGGCTTGAAGTAGACAATTTGGTGAAAGACTGCAGCTTTGCCTCACAAGGGGAGGGGTGCAGCTACAAGTTTGCTAGCCGGCCCTCAAGCGCACACGATTCGCATGACTTGGGCCGTCGACCCAAAATCCAAGCGGACGGTCAAGACTTCTGGGTAACAACGGAAAAAAAAAAAAAAAAAAAAAAAAAAAGCCATGGATGAACCAAAACGATGAGAAAGCTGGTGGCCTTTTGCAAAGTCCGAAGCAAGTCATAGAAGCACGGCCACTGAACTTAGCGCATCCCTTTGCTTTACCGAACTTAGCGCATCCCTTTGCTTTCGCGTCCTGTGTCTCTGTGTGGCTGTGGTTGTGTCTTTGTATCGGTGTGTCAGTGCTTGTGTGTGTGTATCTATGTGTGTGTGTATCTCTGTGTGTCTTGGTCTCTTTGTTTGGTCTGTGTACGTGTACCTGTGAAATGTATGTGGATGTAGATGTGTACATGTATGTGCGTATGCATAATGTGTTTGGGGTATGTTAGGAGGCTCTTAGATGGGCAAGTCGCTGCACCTTGGTTCAGGTCATCCTGGTGGACCTTGGAGTGCGGGGTTCAGATTATGTGTTTATGCTTGGAGCATGTTCCTCTGAAACAATGAATGGAGCCGAAAGACTTTGCCAACGACGTGTCCTGAAGAAAGGGAGGGTCAGGATGAATTCTCACGGTTGAATGTGACCGAGGGCGAGTCATTTTTTTAGGCCCGCTGGCAGGTGCCGCATGGGTGGTAAAATCAATCCAGAAGGTGCCAGCTGGTGGCTTCCCTCACCTTCACAAATTCCGCAATCGGATTGGGAGTCCGCCCAGTTTGAACAAACCAATCTTCTTGCTCTCAACCCAAAGGGAGAGAGGCCTTGGCAACCCAAAAAGAGAGCGTTTGTTCCTGACAAAGGCAAGCAGAGATGTTTGCTCAGGTCCTTCCGATAGCTTTTGGTCCTGCTTCGATTGCACCAAGGATCAAAGTGCTGCCCTCCAAGCAGCGCAAGACGCCTTGCCGCCGCTCTACTCGGACTCGGAGGACCGGAGAATTTGAGGCGTGGAAAAGGAGCCGAAGCAAGTGGCAGGTAAGATGAACGCTTGTTTTCATTCTGTGGATTTACATATAACTTTTCACAGCTCCAGTTGATACATGTCATGCCAAAGGTGGAGGCGTTTGGAAGCTTTTTGTAAGAGTTTGCCAAACAGGGTCTCGTACATTTGACAGCTTGACAAGCGTAAGGGAGCCCTCGGCTTGCTTGGCACCGAGTCCAAAGTGGCGCTGCTCGCAGAATATGTAGACAATTTACCTGGAATCATGAGATTTGGACTACATATTTGCTCTTCCTGTTCTTCTGACTCGTCTCAAGAGCAGACACAGGAACCTACACGAGAGAGCTGATCAGTCATTCCTTAGCGATCTCTATTGTGACACTCAGGTGGGGGATATTACGTACCATGGTCCACCAATTACAACCACAAGCTCCCCTGTTCAGGACTGTCAGAACATTGAATTGAAAGTTGGGTTTTAAAACAACTAAGGGATCCACAAAAAACGTTGCTTCCTTTCATCACTTTCAGACAACCCTCAAACGCACCATCAAACAATCAAGGGCACACCGATTTTAGTATGTGTCAGAA